ATTTTGAGGTCTATTTTTGCGTATCTGCAACCATTGGTCTCCCAATCGGCCGTTACAAAAGGCTCTATATCTTGCAGAATTGTTTGCAATTGTGGGCTTGTCACGTACTAACATGCATACATATTCATTGGCAGAGCCGGGATAACAGGTGGGGATTTTCAGAACCGGATGGATAAATTCCAAATATTACCGCAATTTGACGATTGTTAGAAAAATATAAACTTGCTAAAAAGAACCCGTCAAAAGAATATCTAGAGTGTAAAGAACATACAACGGGTCAGCCGTTCATATTCCTAATCGGCTACAGCTTCATTGTCATCGACGGGCTACCACCCGGCCAAGTATTGAGCGCACTGATACCACAATGTTGTGCTCTTCTTTAAGACGCTGTGCTAACTGTGGTGCTGCAACAGGTTTTCCGCTCTTGTTCATTCTTGACACCGACTCACGCACGAGAGGCTGTATGCTTTCTCCATGTTTCGGAGGCCTCCCAGATGGTTTTGGACCTTCCATCTGTCATAATTAATTTGTCGACCACTGAAATGATAAATATCAATAATAACTGAAATGATATGAAGTACAGCCTACCGAGGTGAAATTCTTGTCGTGGTGCTGCTCCCAGTGCGCCCATATAGCTGAAATGGTGCCCGTAGCAAAGCCTAAACACTCTTTGACATGATAACGAACTCCTCCTTTCCATAGATGCGGTGCAGAGGCCTTCTTTTGGCGGAGGAACTCGTAGGTCTTCACAACCAAGTACTTCTCAGCAGCAGTCAATTTCTTACCGGCGACCATTTGAAAAGTAGTGAACATTATTAGATGCTGTGAAGTTCTTACGAGAATAAATAGACACCAAGCTATCTATTAAGGGGACACACAACGAAATCGGCTCTACGGTTGCGGAGTTACATTCCTCTAATTTAAGATAAAATATATTACCATTTTTGTCCAAGCCTTTTTGGCCGGGATAATACACGTTGGCCGATGCGCTTCTGACACTGTGCCATGCGGTGACCTGGCTCCTTACAGAAGAAGCACATGTTGCGTCTTTGGTACTCATCCCTTGAGATAATTCGACTGAACCCTATATCCATGGGTTCGGGTTGTGACTCACGAGTCGAAAACGGATTCGGGTTTCTAGCAAATCTACCAAATCCACGGTTATTCGTGGCCCGGGTTCGTTGAACTGCCAATCGGGAAAACCCGCGAGGTCCATGCACACTGGATAGGGTGTGCACGCGCGTACTCCATAGCCACGTTAATAGCTTGGTGCACAGTGCTGCACCGACGATACACAACCTCGGCTCGTGTCTGCGACACGAGACCGCGGGTGAAAAGCAGAATCTTGTCAAGCTCGCCCATGTCTTTGACACGACTGATGAGCTGTCGGTACTTAGTGACATATTCGGCGAGGTCACGACACTCACGCTGTTTTAGCTGGTACCGAGAGTCGCGCAGACGCTCTTGCAGATCAGGCGGGATGAACTCGCGGCGCAGAGCCGCAGCGAGCGCTGTGATGTCCACGATTTCATGTTCCTGTGTGACATACCACGCAGCCGCTTGTCCGGTTAGGTTAGAGACCATGATAGCGAGTACACGCTTGCGGTTATCATCATGCGTGTAGGCTATGTTCTTAGCTTCAAAGAACAACCTGGCTTGATCCAGGAAAAGCTCTAGGCTTTCACCAAGCGATCCACCATACTGATGCCTTCCACCCTACGTTCAGCAGGTGGCTTACTCTCGATCTTTTCCATCAGCTCCTGCTGCTTGTACAGGACTGAGGACACTTCTGCCAAAATTTGGGCAGCTACATTTGCGTCCATCTTGATTTCAGACGCTCAGAGGGCTTCCAGCACAGCTCTGTAGGCGGGCACGGTGGCACAACGCTACTTCTTTCTCCAGGGGCTTGCTTCACAAACCACTGCGGGCACAGAGGCTCAGCGCAACCCTTACTGCAACTTGCGTTTTTTCTGTGCACCACACCAAGCTCGTTACGAAGTGGTGTCCAATGTAGTGTGGTCCACATTTCCTTCAGCTGCTGACCAACAAGTGCTACCAAATGTTGGGTTCTGACACGGCGGGCTGGAAGGAATTGGAGGTTGCTGGAGGGTGCGGACGAGTAAAGCTGGGTAGACTGGTAGTGTAAGAAGTGGAAGTGAGGCCTTCGAGGCAAATTTGAAAGTGAATTCAGTTTATGACTAAGACTTGGATCTCTGGCTACACTGCGAGGCAGTAAAGGAGTCCGCCACTGAATCTTGGGCCTCATACGCTACTTCTTTGATATAACTAGCACACCACAGGACGATCTTGAATCTTGAAGAGTAGTAGGGAGAATAATCACGCGCCTTCTCCATCAGATTCGCGGTCATACAGGTAGCACCCAGTAGCTCCGTTCGGACGGAGGTATTCGTTCACACAAAGTAGATTCGCTTGCTGCAGGCAAGCAGGGCAGACGCAAGGTTGCGTGTGCAATCCTTACACACTACCCATAAAAGTTTACGTTGCCATAAAGCAAAGCAAAACCACGCATAGCAGTAACAGTTTCTGTCACTAGTCGCCAGTAGCTACTACAGGTGCAAACGGCATTGGCGTGTTGGCTTGGATTTTACTATTGGTGTGGAAAACTTCTATCGTACTTTTTCGAATATGAACTCGTACTTACTTGAATCGTAACACGTTCAGAAATGCGATCGGAATGATCGGAAAGCGGTGTTCCAATCCAGCACTATTAATAGTTCGGGTCTGAAATAACCCTTGCGCATGTGGATCAGCTACGTGGATGGTGTGGTGGTCAGTCATCCGTCCAGTCATTCTCGCCCCTCACCTTAAATTAAGGGTCCTGAAAACGATTTTATCCTTTTATCAATCCGTTTTCCTGTCAGTACCGTGAATGACATCAACAAAACATGGAATCCGCTTTTGTCATCTTTACACAGTCAGACATTGTTAAAATGTGTGTTTTTGTCTTGAATTTAGCTGAAAACTGACACGTTTTGTCATTTTTAAAAATGTACCGGTAAATGTGGATTTTTGTCGTTTTTTTGTCATCTACGGAACGGCTATCCTTTAAAACCTAGTTAAAATACTACTACACGA